GCCCCGTGTTCCCTCCGCCGGACTCGTCCCCGGCTCGTTTTCCCCTCGTTCCCCACCAGTGTCCCTCCTCTGTCTCCTGACCCGACGCCTCCCTCTCAACGTCTGGTCTCGCCGCCCCTCCCGTGCTCGTCCTGTCTCCCCCGTCCCGCGCTCTCACCGCTATGTTGCTCCGGTCCCACGTGTCTCGTCCTCCCTCCTCCCGTCTCCTCCTCCGTCTTCTCTTGTTGTTGCGTCTCCTCCTCTGTCTGACTACTTTCGTGCCGCTCGTCCTCTTGTTCCTCGGGTCCTTGCCTCTCTGGTTACAGACCCGTCTGTTCCAGTGTCGAGTCTTGACGCCCTTGTCGCTGCGGTCGCTGACTTCGCCTCTACCCGCCGCCTTGACTACGCTACCGCTCTGGTCTCCGACCCTGCCTGTCCTCCGTCTGTCGGGGGTGCTCCTGCCCTCGGCAGTGACGTCCTGGAGGACCGCCAGTTTGAGCTTGCTTTCCTGTCCGAGGCTGCTCCCCATCTCTGTTCCATGCTGCTAGTCCCTGAGGGTGACCCAGACGCTTTCGACATCCCGACCCCTCGTACTTACGCTGAGGCGGTTTCGGGACCCTGGGCCTCTCAGTGGATAGCTGCCATGGAACAGGAGATCGCATCTTGGAGATCCACCGGCACCTTCGTCGACGCAGTTCCCCCCACCTGGGGTGAACGTGGTCGATGGCCGTTGGCTCTTCAAGGTGAAGCGCCCTCCTGGAGAGCCGCCTGTGTTCAAGGCGCGCTATGTGCTAGAGGCTTCAGTCAGCGCGAGGGGGTGGACTTCTTTCAGACTTTCGCTCCTACGCCGAAGATGACTACTCTTCGGGTTCTGTTACACGTAGCGGCTCAGCGTGACTACGAGCTTCACTCGCTCGACTTCTCCACTGCCTTTCTTCAGGGCAGCCTTCACGAGCAGGTCTACCTGCGTCGTCCTCAGGGCTTTACTGGCACTTTCCCCCCTGGGACCCAGTGGCTTCTGCGGCGTCCAGTCTACGGCCTGCGCCAGGCGCCTCGTGAGTGGCACGACACGCTGCGTGCTACCCTTGCTGACCTGCAGTTCTTTCCGTCCTCTGCAGACCCCTCGCTCTTCGTTCGTGCTGGCCCGACCCGTTCTACATCCTTGTCTACGTAGACGACCTGGTCTTTGCCACAGCTGACAGGGACGCACTGGCCTCCGTGAAGGCAGAGCTGCTGAAGAGACACACCTGCACTGACCTTGGAGAGCTGCGCCGTTACCTTGGCTTGCAGATCTCCAGGGACAGAGCCGCGCGCACCATCACCCTGACTCAGTCACACTTGGTGCGCCAGGTCCTTCAGAGGTTCGGCCTTCAGTTCTCCTCCGCACAGCCCACCCCTCTTCCTCTGGACCACAGACTCTCCGCTCCAGTTCCTGAGGAGTCGGTAGATCCCAGTGGTCCTTACGCTGAGCTAGTGGGTTGCCTTATGTACCTGATGACTTGCACTCGCCCAGATCTCGCATACCCTCTCAGCATCCTGGCTCGTTTCGTGGCCACAGGCAGACACCGACCTCAGCACTGGTCTGCCGCTAAGAGGGTTTTGCGTTATCTTGCAAGTACATCGCGCATGGGGTTAGTGCTAGGCGGACGCAGGCCAGTGGTCCTTACTGGACACACAGACGCTTCTTGGGCAGACGACGCCGAGACGCTCAGGTCTTCCCAGGGCTACTGCTTTAGCCTTGGCTCAGGTGCTGTCTCGTGGAGAGCTACTTGCTCCTCGTCTGTTGCCCAGTCCAGCTGTGAGGCTGAGATCTACGCCGGTGCCATGGCGGCACAGGAGCTCCGCTGGCTGACCTTCTTGCTCACTGACTTAGGTGAGCGGCCTAGCTCTGCCCCGGTCTTGTACGCTGACAACAGGGCCATGATCCTCCTGTGTCAGGAGCCTCGACTTGAGGGTAGAGCGAAGCACATCCAGCTGCGGTACTTCCTCCTGCGCGAGCTCCAGCAGCGTCGCCAGGCTCGCGTAGTACACTTGGCCTCCGGTGCCAACACAGCTGATATCTTTACGAAGGCGCTTGCGCCTAAAGATCATCAGCGGCACTGTGTACAGCTTGGTCTGGTTCCTGTAGTCCCTCACTTACTCGGGCCTTGACTTTGTACTGTCCTATATATATGTGTACACTCAGACTGGACTTGTGTCCTCTCACAGTGGTTGGACTAGTAGTGCCGCCCTGTACTTGTTCTTGTCTTGTCTGTACTCCTTCTGACTGGTCTTTTAGACCCTTGTCTCAGAGGCTGGACTAGTAGTGCCGCCCTGAGCTGCTTGTTTAGGACATTCCCCTATGCAGTCCAGGGGGTGTGTCAAACATGTTTATTGATCATGTTTGTATAGACTGTATAGGGTAACCTCCTAGAGGGTACAACATTTAGGTATATGTGCATGTACTCTCTAACTCTATCATTATTCAATTCTAGGTTTGTGACGCCTATCATTCTCTCCCTCTCATGCCTCTGCCGCTTCTGACTTGTCCTCTCATCTCTGCTGCACTTCCTTCATCCCATGTTCCTCTCACGCTCACTGGTGAGACCTCACAGGCAGTGAGAGTATGGAACTGACCTTCTTCGTTCCTTCCCTACCTCCCCGTGTCTCCCTCCCTCTCTCCCTCTCTCCCTCCCTCCATCCTCCTGCCTCCTCCTCTTAGGCCTGCTGTGTCTGCACAGGGATGCACTGGCTAGCAGGAAAGGCAAGCCATGCTGGAGCTAAGGCAACCAGCAGAGTCGCTGGCTCACCCCAAGGGCTTCCTCGTCTCTTCTTCAAACCGTGGGGCTTGAGAGGTTGTTCACGCTGAAATTCTCTCGAGATGATAGTTGATGGAGAATCCAGTCACAACGAGCACTGTCAGCGCCCGCAGGCCGGGCACAGGAGCTGCAGCAGCAGTGGCTGCTTCAGCAACGGAGGAAAAATGCAACAGCAGCTTCGGCAGCAGCAGCATGATGGTATGGCGAGTGTTCGAAGGCATTCAGACAACTATGGGCTGCAACTTTGCTCTCTGATTGCTCATTCATCGTTTTCTGTTGATCGGGTTCCTTATGGGCTGATTTTCTCTGCCCCTTGGTTTTGCAGAGTCGTTGCTATCTGCACAATTGCTGTTCGTCATTCGTCCGTTTTGTTCTTCCTTCCTTCCTTCCCTCCCATCCCCTCCTCTCCACTCTTCTCTTCCGTTTCTCCCTCACTGCCACTATGGACTCTGCTGGGTTGTCAGCTAGAAATTCCATGCGCATGTGTGGTGTGTGGGCATGTGTGCATGCACGCGTGGCCTCTTAATGTTGGTTCATCCATACTTTTGTGTTGATCTCTCAACGTTATCGAACGCACTGGTGTGCCAACCACTGCTACTGCATGCCTTTCGTGAGGCTTCTCTCCATGCCCTGCCATTCTCAGGAATGCACAGATGCGCATCCTTATACTGTTATCTCCCGGCATGGCATGAGGACCAGCAATACAGTGTGATGCGCATCCTTATACCTGCTTGCTGCACCCGAAATCTTCCCACTACCACTGCCACTGATTGCCCTCCTCCTCTCCTCTTGCTCTTAGTATTCCTTCATTCCTGGGAATGAGTGCAGGAGCAGCGTCAGCAGAGATGGGGACAGGTGGATGGATATGTGGGCATGAATGGATGGTGCATGCTCGTGGTGGGGTTACAGATGCTGCTTTACTCGCTATGATAGTCGCCTTTCAATCTGCTGTGGTAGTTATGCATGTGTTGGGATTGGTCATTGTGCCCCACTTGCAATGGCTGTGGTTTACTGGTTTGTGCATATCAGGAGCAATGCCCCGCAATGGGCTCCTCTCAACAGCAACTGGCCGTGTGCAACACCAAGGCAGCTGAGGATGCTGGTGTTCTAGGGCCCTAAACTAAGGATTGATTGAGCTATTTGATTTAGCATTTCAACTATACATACATCAAAGCGGGCTGTACAAATAAGAGCAATCAAAGAAGCACCAGCCGCTATGTTCTCTGAACTCCGCCCTCACAGCGCCAGGCACGAAGTTCGGCGCGTCATCTTCTCGGCGGCGAAAACAGCTCCTCTCTAGGCGCCGGGCACGAAGTTCTGCGCGTAGGCCCAGGCGTTGTTGGCGGCGGGGTCTGCGAGGTGGTCGGCGAGGTTCTCGAGGGGCCCCTTGCCGGTGACGATGGCCTGCACGAAGAAGCCCAGCACCGCCACCTGCGCCAGCCGCCCGTTCTTCAGCTCCTTCACCTTCAGCTCCGCAAACGCGTCGGGGTCGTCCGCCAGCCCCAGCGGGTCGAACGCTCCGCCCGGGTAGATCGGGTCGTCCACCTCCTGGAATCCCTCCAGCCCGCCCACGCGGTAGCTCTCCACCAATCCCAGCAGCACCACCTGCGCGAGGCCGTCGGGTTACCACGTTACAAAACGAAAATAGAGTCAGCAACGTGTTCGTTACGCATATCCGAAATTCAGTTCGTCAAGCGAGGAAAGAAGCGACTGGGGAAAGAGAAACCGAGAGCGCGTTTGAGGCGTGAGAAAGAGCAAGCGTCGGGACGATCCTGAACGGCGATCGACGGCAGTGATGGGGAGATTAGAAAAGCGAAACCATTGTCTCTGACTGACCTGGACGGCGAGCGTGGCGAGGATGCTCTGCGCGTGGATGAGGCTGGGGTTGCCCAGGTAGTTGAGCCCGCCCTCGCTGAAGATCTGCGCGCCCGCCTTGAACCACACTGCCTCGCCCAGCGGCACGCCGTTGCGCGCCAGAAGCTCGGGGAACACGATGCCAAGCGCGCCGAGCAGCGCCCAGCGCGAGTGAATCACCTCCAGCTCGCGGTTCTTCGCGAACGTCTCGGGGTCCGCCGACAGGCCCGCCGTGTCCCACCCGTAGTCGCCGGGGAACTCGCCTTTCAGGTACGCGGGAGGCGAGGAGAAGGGGCCCAGGAACAGGCTGCGATCGGGCCCGTACCACTGGCTCAGGCTGTCCGCGGCCTTCACGGTCTTGCGCATCGTCACGCGGCTCTCCACGTTGTTCACCTTCGCCGCGAGCTCGGCGCTCGACGCGAAGAAGGCGGAAGCGGCGGAAGCCGCGGTGGCGGAGGAAAGAGCAGCCATGATGGCGGGAGCTTGGGGATCAAGCTGAGATAAAGCGGGATGTCGGCTGGTGGGAGTGGGAGAGCTGGGGGATGACTGGTTCGATGGTTTAGAAGATCAGTGGGAGTTATTTATGTTCGAAAATTTGAGATTCGAATTCTACGGACATCGAGGCGCGGGGTTGTTGCGAAGGCGACAATGGGTAGATGCGAAGTTTCTGTGGCGAGGCTGTTTGCGAAATCTGTTGGGCATTCGGATGCACGCCAGGTCAGCCTATTGGGATACAGTATGCGAAATGTCGGATTGGGGAATACTTCGAACTGGGTCGCGTGTGTGTGGATCCTGCGAATTGGGTCAAGTGGGTTCAGCTTTGTCCAGGTTGACAATCTGCTGCCTTACAAGCTTCCTCGGATGGAAACGCTAATTAGCTGCTGGGTGAATCAAATATTGGGGTGCTTATGTTGCTACTCTGTTGTACTACTCATGTTACTGGTAAGCAGCCGTAGGACATAGTGGAAGGCTGATCTGGGGTCCAGAATTCTTAGTGGACCTAAATTAGTGACCTCGTTAAATTGGTGGATGAGGCGAGGTTAGTGACAGAGTTGGATGGGTTCAGATCGGTTGTGTTAGATTTCTCCTGTTTTGCCACCGAACTGAAACCTAATGGCGTGGTGCAGCCATTTCGAACGGGTCCAGACTAAATTCGCGAATGTCGTTAACCCGTCGTGAATTCAAAACCGGCTGGATTCGCGAAGCAGGTCCGCACTGTCCTTCCGACTACTGTTTCGCACGGAACGGCTGCACTACGCCGTAACGAGTCTGCCTTCCATTCCGTCACTTCCGCTTTGTCGTCAAAAGACTGTTCGCTCGCCACCTCGCCGCTGTTTAGTTATTACTTGACTGCTTGGTAGCGAAGTAGTCACCGTGGGTGTTGGTAAAGGCCTGAGAGATTAGACACTTCGGCGCATGTCTAGTGCATCGTGGCAAGAAATTAGACGACACTCTAGAAGCACGACGCGTCCCCGGGGTAGGTCGGGCAGGAATAGTCGCGACTGGCAGCTGTTATTATGATTGCAAAATATAAACAAAGGAAATCGCATGCGAAAACCGTTAACGTTAGCCAGGCGAAGAACGAGGGGGTCGGACGGATGGAAAATATTGGTGGTTCTTCCATCTGAGCAAGGTAATGACTACCATGCGGATCTGCAGACATTTTTATGGAAGAAATAGCTTAGACCGAACGCAATACGATTTAGGGTAGTCGTGGATTTTAAGAGCGTGCTCTAGCGACTGAGATTGTCTCTGCCAAATATTATGCTGCTGCCTCCCCCGTCGGTGGTTTCCCCCCCCCCTCCACGTCAAACCCCACCATCCCTCAGACTGCCATCTTCATCATCTTCGTCCTTGGCTCTCCCCCCCTAACCATCCTCCCACTGAGCCGTCCTCCCTTCAGCAACCACCACTACCCCTGCTACTACAACCCTTCTGACCTTGTCCCCCCTCTTTGGTAAGATCCCTTCACACCATCCCTCCCCCACCCCCCCCCCCACCCCCGCCCCTTTCCCCCTTCCCCCTTTCCCCCATTACTTGTCACCCAAGTAACTAATTATCTTAGACAGCCCGCAACCAGATCTCGGACTTTGATCAAATAGCCAGAACCGGTTGCAGTGGCTGCTTCAGCAACGGAGGAAAAAATGCAACAGCAAGTATGGGCTGAAGAAACTTTGCGCTCTGCTTGCTCATTAATCGTATTCTCTTGACCGGGTTCCTTATGGGCTGATTTTCTCTGCCCCTTGGTTTTGCAGAGTCGTTGCTATCTGCACAATTGCTGTTCGTCATTCGTCCGTTTTGTTCTTCCTTCCTTCCTTCCCTCCCGTCCCCTCCTCTCCACTCTTCTCTTCCGTTTCTCCCTCACTGCCACTATGGACTCTGCTGGGTTGTCAGCTCGGCATTCCGTGCGCATGTGTGGTGTGTGGGCATGTGTGCATGCACGCGTGGCCTCTTAATGTTGGTACATCCATACTTTTGTGTTGATCTCTCAATGTTATCGAACGCACTGGTGTGCCAACCACTGCTACTGCATGCCTTTCGTGAGGCTTCTCTCCACGCCTTGCCATTCTCAGGAATGCGCAGATGCGCATCCTTATACTGTTTTTTCCCGGCATGGCATGAGGACCCACAATACATTGTGATGCGCATCCTTCTAACTGGTTGCTGCACCCGAAACCTTCCCAATACCACTGCCACTGGTGGCCCCTCCTCCTCCTCTCCTCTTGCTGTTAGGATCCCTTTCAGCCATGTCACATTCTTTCATTCCTGGGAATGAGTGCAGGAGCAGCGACAGCAGTGATGGGGACAGGTGGATGGATATGTGGGCATGGATGAATGGGGCATGGCGGTGGTGGGGTTACAGATGTTGCTATACTTGCTATGATAGTTGCCTTTAAATCAGCTGTGGTAGTTATCTCAACGTAGGATTGAATGTCGAGAGAATAAAGCGTACAAGGGTATAAGCCCAAGTGTTGTACTTGTCAAACATCTGTATTTGTCATGTTTGTATAGACTGTATAGGGTTACCGCTTAGAGGGTACAACACTTAGGTATATTTGTGTGTACTCTCACTTTACCATTATTCAATTCCAATTCTGATATGGTATCACGCGTAGGTAGGATCCCCCCCCCCACCTACCGCTTCCGCTCATGCCCCCTAGCACCGCTCCTGGGCCCCGTCGCGCTCCTCCCAGGCCCCGTCGCGCTCCTCCCAGGCCCCCTAGCGCCCCTCCTGGGCCCCGTCGCGCTCCTCCCAGGCCCCGTAGCGCCCCGTCGCGCCCCTTCTGGGCCCCGTAGCGCCCCTCCTGGGCCTCGTCGCGCCCCTCCTGGGCTTCGTAGCGCCCCTCCTGGGCCCTGTAACGCCCCTCCCAGGCCCCGTCGCGCCCCTCCCAGGCCCCGTCGCGCTCCTCCCAGGCCCCCTAGCGCCCCTCCTGGGCCCCGTCGCGCTCCTCCCAGGTCCCGTAGCGCCCCGTCGCGCCCCTCCTGGACCCCGTAGCGCCCCTCCTGGGCCTCGTCGCGCCCCTCCTGGGCTTCGTAGCGCCCCTCCTGGGCCCTGTAACGCCCCTCCCAGGCCCCGTCGCGATCCTCCCAGGCCCCCTAGCGCCCCTCCTGGGCCCCGTCGCGCTCCTCCCAGGCCCCGTAGCGCCCCGTCGCGCCCCTTCTGGGCCCCGTAGCGCCCCTCCTGGGCCTCGGCGCGCCCCTCCTGGGCTTCGTAGCGCCCCTCCTGGGCCCTGTAACGCCCCTCCCAGGCCCCGTCGCGCCCCTCCCAGGCCCCGTCGCGCTCCTCCCAGGCCCCCCCTAGCGCCCCTAATGGGCCCCGTCGCGCTCCTCCCAGGCCCCGTAGCGCCCCTCCTGGGCTCTGTCGCGCCCCTCTTGGGCCCCGTCGCGCCCCTCCCAGGCCCCGTCGCGCCCCTCCGTGGCTCCGTAGCGCCCCTACTGGGCCCCGTCGCGCCCTCCCTGGGCCCTGTAGCGCCCCTCCTGGACCCCGTCGCACCCTGCCCGACCCCGTCGCAGCCGCCCGGCCCCGTCGCGCCCGCCTGGCGCTGTCGCAGCCGCCCGGCCCCGTCGCGCCCGCCCGGCGCCGTCGCACCCGCCCGGCCCCGTCGCGCCCGCCCGGCCCCGTCGCAGCCCGCCCGGCCCCGTCGCGCCCGCCCGGCCCCGTCGCCCTTGCCTGGCCCCGTCGCAGCCGTCCGGCCCCGTCGCACCTGCCCGGCCCCGTCGCACCCTGCCCGGCCCCGTCGCAGCCGCCCGGCCCCGTCGCACCCGCCCGGCCGCTGTCCCGCTCGCCCGGCCCCGTCGCACCGGCCCGGCCCTGCCGCACTCGCCCGGCCCCGTCGCCCCAGCCCGGCCCCGTCGCGCCCGCTCGGCCCCGTCGCCCCGTCCCGGCCCTGTCGCACCAGCCCGGTCCCGTCGCGCCCGCCCGGCCCCGTCGGGCCAGCCCCGGCCCCGTCCTCCACACTGGTACGGTTCCCCCCCCCCCCACCCCGCCCTGCTCCGTGCCGCCCCGCACCACACTGTACTGCCTGGCACCGCACTATACCGCACTGCACCGCACTGCACCGCACTGTACCACACTGGACCGCACTGCACCGCACTGCACCGCACTGTACCGCACTGCACCGCACTGCACCGCACTGCACCGCACTGCACTGCCCTGCACCGCACTGCACTGTTCCTGATGGCGGCGGAGCTTCGCTTCGACGCTGAAGGTCAGCCCCTAGAGTTCGAGGCGTGGCTTGCCGACCTCCGCCGCCAACTCACTGGCCAGCGGCAGGATGGTGAACCGCTTTCCGCACACCTTGACGGTACGCTCCCCTGCCCAGACCCCCCTGCTATCCTGCCCGCTGACCCCACACCCACTGAGTGTGAGTCTACTGCTGCCACTGCCCGTGCGCGCTCTGTCTGGCTTTCTCGCGATGCTGTTGCCCAGCTTGCCATTAGCAACGCCCTTCCCCCATCCGAGCGTCCTCGCTTTAGGTCCCTCACTACTGCTCAGGCATACTTAGATGCTGTGATCAAGCGCTATTCCACCCCTCCGGCTGCCTCGGTGGGTCGCCTGATCCTTCCGATGCTCTTTCCTGACCTTGCATCTTTCCCCACTGTCTCTGACCTCGCTGCCCACCTGCGCTCGATAGATGAGACCTGGCGCGCTGCCTGCACTGACGCCCAGCTTAGAGCCCACCAGCCGCCCATTACCTCTACCCTCTACCTGCTTGCCACCTGTGAGAGTACGACCTCGTTACACCACTTGGCCTTTTCCATATTTCATCTTCATTTCATTCCTCTTTTTATCTCATCTCTTGTGGCCTCATATTTCCCATTTTCCCTTATCCTTTGGTTTCTTCCTTTATTATTATTATATCACCGACCAGGCATGGAATGTTCTAGACACGCTATCTAGCGTAATCCTGCCGTAATCCCTTAAAGCCAATAGCCTCGCGTGGCTATACGCAGGGTGATTCTATTTTCTAGAAGGGTCTATTCCTTTAGATAGGATAAACCTGGTTACCTGATGTACTCTGGAAGTATAAAAGCGCCTTGTACTGATCGATAG